TAGTAGTTGTTCTCTATAATATTCGGTAAATCGAGTCAAATTACGTTAAAACAAATTTTTTTACTTATTATTAAACTTATTTTCATGCATATAATTAAAAAATAATAATGATATGTATAATTTTTTCGTTAAAAAGTCAAAGAAAGTATCACCACTAACCTTGCAAATTTACAACTAAATTGACAAAATTTCAAAGAGCTAAGGATACTGTTCTCGAAAAGCGCTATTATTTTCATAATAGTGAGTCGAAGAATAAAAATCTTTTTACACTATTAGCAGAAAATTCTGCAGAATTTATATAAATAAATAAAACAAAATATTATATGTAAATTTCGTTATTATTTCTGTTTGTAATGTAATGGTGGCAATCATTGTGAGGGGGGCAACAACTGTACCGCTTACCCCTACCAGATTTACTCAAAAGACTGCGCAAGTCCTGATATGAAAAAAGAAACATGTTTTTAATTATTTTAAAATAATATAATTGAATTCCAATAAAATCTTTCGGGTTATCTGATAGAATCTGGAAATAATGGAAAAGGTATAGAAGTTTATTAAAAGTTTCTGGAAACAGGCCTCGAATCGACTTGAAAACATAAAAAAGTCGCTTTAGTCGTATTACTTTACAAAAAGAATCGAAAATGTCGATTTTGTAATTTTACAGATTTAATTGGTTATATAATAATTTTTTTATTAACTATTATAAAGCGTTTTAAATATATTAATAACTATTATTATTTATTGATATTAAACTGTTATTAAACTGTAAAATATTTTCAAGGTTTAGATTAAAAATTTTAGATTTGAGATTTAAAAAAATTGGAAGATTCTTTTTTCTTAACAATTTTTGAAATCTTACTTATTTGTTTATTTATTGATTTAAAGTAAATTTATGGAAATTATTTTCAGATTTTAAACTCATAATTTTTTTTATTTCTTACGCCCTAAAAGCCGAATGAAATCTCATTTTATATTAAATAAATTGAAAAGTAGCATTTTATTAAAATAAATCAAAAAAGTCGCATTCACTGACAAAAATCGAAAATATAATACAATTCGAGGCCTAGAAAATCATAGAAAATGTCTGGAATTTTTAAGTTTCTAAATTTTTTATGTTTAAATAATTTTTAAAATACAAAAATTTTTAAGTTTAAAAATAAAATAAATTTTCATTCTTCTTTAAATGAATTAACATTAATTTTATTTTTAATTTTTGTATTTTATATTTATTGTAAATTTGTTACATAGTTTTAATTTTATAAATTTATTGTAAAAAACCTACCTTCAATAAATTATCAGGTGCGAATAGCTCTGTAATTTTTTTTTACAAATCTAATCCTGTGACCTGCCACAGGTATTAGATTTTCTAAAACTCCTGACCATTCAGGTAAATGCAATTGGCTTAATTCATCTAAATCAATTTTTTGAGCTAAAAAATTTAATAAATATATATTTTCTAAATAAATTATAGAAGATGTGCCGATTTTGAATTCAAAATAATATAATTATAGAATAGATTTTTCTAATTACAAACATAACCTACAATTTTTTCAAAGCTATTTCAAATGCATTTGAGAAACCATAAAAACATAAATCTTGTATAAAGTTATTTATAATATGAAATTTTTATATACACTACTTATGATAAACTGAAATTTTTACTTTTTTTAAGCTATAATAAAAAATAATCAACTTACAAAGAAATTGTACTTACCGCAAAATCTGTCGTATTATTCATCTAAACCCCACGTAATTAATACGTCCTTAAGATTTAGAACATCTTCATCAAACATTATTGCACAAACTGCTTTTTTAATATAATAAAACTGAAGTCGAAAAACATTGGAAAATAACTCGCTTTTGCCCACGCTTGCAACACGCTTGTATGATAGGTTTGATAGGTTATAAAGCGGGAAAACTAATACCGTAGCAGTGATTTTGCGCAGTATAATACTATATAGCCATGTCACCCAAACTTTCTACCAGAACTGTTTATGTGAAACTGTATTAGTAAGACTGCTAGACAGTATAGCCAGAAGTCTTAAATCTTTCTCATAAATTTTCTGTGTCTAATAGCTAAACCATTTTTATATCACAACAATCCAGTTTCCCCCCATTAACGTATTGCAAACGTACTTATATTTATCCAGCAATATATTTATAGGAACAGTACCGATATCATTTTTTTCAGTGTTGAAACTATAATTTTCATTGGTTCATAATTTAAAAATTGCCACAAAATGTGAACTTGTGTTAGGTTCCAAAAGAAAAGAGCCATACTTTTGGGGAAGAATATAAAAAATATAAAAAAATATATAAATATAAAACATAAAGCAAACATTTTTTGAAATAATAAATATTACACCGTCCGACACGATTTTGGACCCACAAAAAAATCCAATATATTTGGAAACTGGGACCCAAAAAAAATTCACATGTCTGGCCGTTTCGCTAGATCAAGTCGTTTGTGGTTTTTGATTTTGATTTTTCCTTGACAACGCTATGTAAATCGATCCGAATCATGTTCGCTATATTTTTAAATCTCCACTGTAGAGTGGAATTGGGGCAAATACATTAGTATTATGCAGTAAAACAGCTTTTATACTTCGTTTTGATGAATCTACAAGAAGTTGTCAATCTTTGGCATCATAACAATTCGCTTTAAATTCGTTAATAAGACCTTCAACTTCAGTGCAAAATACTGAAGATGAATCTGGATCTTTCATAAAGTATTTGCGATATTGTGATTCTCTATTTCGGTAAATAGATACTTTTGTATTCGGCTCTTGAAGAATTTTCCTGTTTAAAAATGAAGCTGAGTACTCGGAACCGTCTTTAGGTAAACCTAAATTTCGTATAAGATCATTTAATTCAAGCTGCGATACCAATTCTCTTGGTAAAAAAATGGGAGCAGTTATTGACACAATACTGATGTAAACGATTTTGTTTTTATTGTTAGCGTTAAAACCTTTAACTTGATTACAACAAAAGAAGCAATCTTTTTTACAGCGAGGACGTCTCCAAATAGTTGGAACAGAGTTTTTGGTATGCTCTGTATCTTTATCCTTTTTCCAACGATTCAGCATCTTTCTGCAACTATTGCAGATAATATTGGGAACCCAGTTAATTTTTTCAGGGTTATCCATTTTCAAATTAAAAATTTCTTTGTAAGTTTCACGAATATCATCATTGACCTTTTTCCGCAAAGAACTAACTTGGAATTTCGAGCAATTGTAACAAAAGATGTTACGATCCGAATCACAGTTATGTAATTGTGAGACGTGTTTGTCTTTTTTTTTGTAGCATTAAACTCCACATTAGCCAAGTCACAAATCAATGTAGAGCTGCGGTCGTTGGATGACGACGACTGCGTGCCCGCTTTCGCACCCTGACTAACGGCCGATACTAGGGATCCGAAACCCTGCATCGTAAAACGTTTCCTACGTGTGTTTGCCATAACGGCATTAAAGCCGTCATCCAGGGACTTAACCGGCTCACGGGTTTTCTCCGTTCCCCGCCGTCATCACGGAGAGGTGCCTTGGATGCAGACACACACAAGATATAGGGTAATTCCAGGTGAACTAAAAATTGGAATTAGAACACCTTAAATTCATAATCAGCGACCCCGAAAACCACCTAGTAAGAAGTTTCAAGCAAATCCGATGATTTTTTTCAATAACTTTCCGCCATATTCGAGTCACTATTTTGAGTTTTGAAAAAATAATATCATATTCGTAATTAGCGACCCCGAAAACCCCCGAGTAAGAAGTTTCAAGAAAATCTGATGAATTTTTCTATAAAATGTCCGCCATATTGGTTTTTTGAGGTTATGTAAAATTCCTGGTGTGATGGGGTCAAATGGACCCCGGATTCGGATTCAGCGACCCCAAAAACGTGCAGTGAACATAGTCAGAACTACAGGCCAGAACTTTTTTCTTCTTTTGTGTGGCTGTGTAATTTTCCAGGACGTTATGAAATTACATAATGTTTCTCAAAGAAATCGAAAAATTCAATTTTTAACCTAAAAAATCGATTTTCTCAAAAACGGCTCGATGAAAGATTTTAAATTTTTTCACAAAATTCTCAGAAAAGTGTCCAGATTTAAGATATAAAAGAAATTTTACAGTGAAAGAACTTTTGGGTTAAAGTGTATAAGCATTGAATATTTTCGCCATTAAAAATACATTTTTAAAATGAAAATAGCGAAAAGAAGTTTATTATTGTATTATAATTTCTGTCGCGAATCTAGGGGACACATTTACATGCCCCCCACAAGTAACATAGTAAGGTTTTGAGATTATAACCTCCACCCCCGTGAAATTTAAAAATTTTTTACAAATCTAAGCAAACATAAAATTTTTTCTCATTAAAATGACAGTCTTTTTATAATATCTAAATGAAATACAGTCAACCATCTCAGTAAATCCGGTCAACGCGGAAAGGAGCAATGTTTTTCCAAGAACTGGGATTCCCCCAGTTTCGACTCGCTGGTAATAATGTCTAATATACCCAGGCACTACTGACATCAAAGTATATAAAATTTGAGAGACACTACACTGAAAAACTTTCCAGCGCGCTGCCTGACCGGTGAAGCTCGCAGCAAACCAAAGTAGATGGCAGCTGCGTTCTCGCTCCTCGGTTCGGCGTCTTGCTCTCGAGAGCATGCTGCGCGCCCACGAAAGCAGACAGCAAGCTCGCATCGATCTCAAAATGTGGGCATGCCAGCTTCTCGTCTCTGCGGGATCACTGACAGCTCTCGAAAGCTGGCAGCGAGCCCGAGAACCGATGTGCAGCATGATCCAATGGGTGCGCAGTGTTACTTTACGTAAGAGAAAGTAGCGCTACGACCACTGAGATGGCAGCGCGCCGGAAAGTTTTTCGGTATAGCAGTGGGCTTTACTGAGAGAGGGATTACTGGGATGGTTGACTGTATTCGCGAAATCACTTTCTGATAACAAAATAAATAGTTTTTTATTCTTGAATGTAATTTTATTTATTACCTGGTTACAGTATCGTAATCTTCCAAATACTCTTCACTATCTGGATCATCAGATTGGTCACTAAGTATGTCTTCCATTCCTATCTCTGCAACAGAACTGGAATCAGAGTCTTCAGCATTGCCAGGAATTAATGTATCTTGACCATCAATTTCATCTTCTTCATTATTATCATCATCTTCGTCTTCATCATCATTATTATCTGTGAGATCTTCATCAAAACTTCTAGAAATTGGAACTTCATAGTACTGTTTTGATTTAACATTCTCTGTGAATAATAAAATAAAACAATTAACTTTCATTAGTACTTGTTTTAATGAGAAGGATTTGTTGTATCAACATCTTCATCTCCTTCAAATCGATAGACAATAAAATTTATAATTATTTTGTAATAAAAATTACAAATTATATTTGTCATATTTTGTCTTTAAGTTGCACGCTTTTTTTGAGAAATGCTAAAATTTTTATTTTCTCCGAATTGGCATCAATTTTGTAAATAATTTTGATAAAATTAAGGACGTTTATCCACGGAATTGCAGACCTCCAGAAAAAAATTAATTTACATTTATATAATTAAAATAATATTATTAATTGTACTTTCTGAAAGAAGAAATATCCATTATCAAGAAAAAAATTTATTTGTTTATACAATTTGCATAGGATAAAAATTTTCAGTCACATCGCTTCTACACACGGAAAAGAAAAATTAACTATAATAATCTTGGTATTCATTCATTCATTCATTCATTCATTCCGTCCGGACCCCTGCTGGGTTTTCGGTGACAGAGAAAGGAACAAGTTATGGAGAGAGAAAGATATATCTTTATTTTGCAAATGAGGGTTCGCTTGACCTGCAATCTTTTAAAGAGGATTAATTAATAACTCTAAGGACCCAGGTAATAATTTCTTTCTCCCTTTATCACGTGAAAAAACTTTAAAGAAAGTCTAAAACTGAATAGGTAACGCATACCTTTCTTTCTTACACCAAGGAATATAACATAAGTACTTCTTCGTTTAACATTGCGTTTCTCTATCTAGACAATTCAAAATGGCATAAGAACACTTTTTTTCAATTTTATATATTTTTGTCCACTTTTTGGTATTACCATAAAGTTTGAACTCTTTTTCACATAATTATATATTCTATTTAAATTATATTGTGATTAAATAGAAAAATTTCAAGTTTTTGGAACTTGATACATTTTTCTTGTATTCAAGGTTTGTGTTAAACAGTGGGACACCTATTTATTAAATAATGAATATTTGTTTCAATAATAATATTCTGCTTCATACTTTATAAATATATATGTTTGGCATTAAATAACGTTAACAAATGTTGCAAAACACTTATATTTTAATAATATTTTACATTTTTATAATACGATGTCAAGTTTCATATAAAAAATTGTTATTATTTTTTTTACGTTTACAGTACTGCTGATCATACGTCATAATTTGGTCATAACATAAAAACAATTTGGAGGAAAATTTGAATAGTCGTTCTCTGATCAAGTGTTATTTTTCAAATGTTGCCGAACAATAATTGTAATAATTATAAATTTTGAATTTTTTAATGTTTTTTAGCATAAAAAAATCACATTTTTAGTCGCTGTGTAAGTATAAATGCGCATGCGTATAGATAGTGTGTTGTCATAAACATGGTTTACATTTAAATTTTGGTCGAGTTTCTTTAAGTAGTTTTTCAGAAAATTAAAGTGACCTACTGTTTAAACTGTCCCACTGTTTATCACTCTCCCCTACCTGTATTAGAGCCCCAGAAAATTTTAATAAAAAAATTTAAAAATTATTACCTGGCCCCTCAGAATTAATCTTCATTAACAAAGGCTCTATTGTCCAAGGATTGGTATTGTTTGTGGTAATTGTTCTGAGAGTCTAATACTGGTATATACATATTTTTTTTATTTTTAAAACAGAAAGAAAGAAGAGTAAGATTTTTAGGCGAAGATATTCTTATGTTATTTTGAATCCTCTAGATAGAGAAATGCAATATTAAATGAAAATTATATGTTATATTCCTTGATGTGAGAAAGAAAGATATACATTACCTCTTCAGTTTTTGACTTTTATCTTTATATTTCCTTGTGATAATACACGGAAAAAATTTCGAGACGTCGGACGTGCCGATGTCAATGTAAACCTACTGTACATTTCATTATGTACTCAGAGTTAATCTTCCTTAACAAAGGTTCTATTGGCCAAGGGTTGGTACATCTTTATTTTTCTATATAATAAATGTGAAAAAAGAAATTATTACCTGGGTCCTCAGAGTTAATCCCCATTAACAAAGGTTCTATTGTCCAATGGTTGGTTTTTTTGTGGTATTTGTTCCTGGGTTTTAATACAGGTATAAATACGTACATATATATGTTATTTGTAATGAACTACTGACTACTCATATAAGAGTGTCCTTTTTGCACTTATTGGCTGATCAGTAGTTACTGATTCATAGTTACACATAGTTCTCTCATTCTTTTGGATATTTGGTAGTTTTATTGGATTAAAGTAAAAATTGGTTATATTGGATTAAAGGAAAAATTGGTTATATTTAGTAAAAGGTAAAATGAATTGTATTGAATTAAAGGAAAAATTGATTATTTTTAATAAAAGGTAAAATCGGTTGTATTGAATTAAAGACAAAATTGGTTATATTTAATAAAAGGATAAATTGGTTATATTAGAGAGAGTGAGCAAAAGGGTTAAAGATATTTAGATTTTCATCAATCAAAAATAAAATTAAACGAAGTATACTATGGCCAACATAAAAGAGTATGTTATTTTAAGTGATAAAGATTTAAAAATTATTGAAAATAGAAATAAATTATTATTAAATTACATGCATATGCACAAATTTGAAGAATTATTAAGAAAAGATTCCAATTCATTTTTCAATGTGCAAAGTACTTTGTATGTACAAATGCTTGATTTTATTGTCCCAATTAGAGAAGGTGATAAACATATTCAAATACTTTTTAGCGGTAATAACAATTATGGTCACTGAATTTATGTTTATTACGATAGAGTAAGGCTTTATATTTTTGATAGCCTTAATGAGGGGTGTTTAAATGTGCATCAAATAAAATGTTTAATTAGATTGTTCCCTTTTAAACCAACAGTAGTTTTTGAAGCTGTTAATCAACAACTTTTTGGTAGTGTTTAGTGTGGAGTATATGCAATAGCATTTGCAACATCTGTATTATTTAACGTAATGCCAAACCGTGTAAATTATGAAACTGATAATAACAAAATGAGAAACCATTTTAAGTTAATGTTTGAAAATAATCGCTTAAATCATCTTCTGGCAGTAAGAACGTCTCACAATAGGAATTCGATAATAGAGAATAATTAGAACCGTCTTTTCATAAATTGAACTTAGGAACATAAAAATTATATTTTAAACTCTTGTTCTGTTTTTAATACTTTGCACAGTAATAATATTAACAGAGTTCTATTAACACAACATTAAAAAATTAAACATTCTCTAAATGACACTAGTGAAAAGAAAATAATTCGAACAACTGATAATAATGTGAACAAAATTTCACCACATGAATATTTAAAAATGAAGAATTTTCTGAGTAAAGAAAATGATAAAAAGATAATTCGAGCAATTAAAGAGAAGGGAAGAAAAAGGAAGGCAAGGCGCGAAGTTACATATGAGCAGAAAATAATAAGACAGGAAAATGAGAGATTGAGAAAACGTAATCGTAATAAAACAGAAATAAAAAAGAAAGAGCGCAAAAAAAAATTTGACATACAAAAAAAAGAAATTATCTATAAAAACTGAAGATGAAAAGAAAATACGCAAGGATAAAAATTTGGCATGTAGGAAAAGCAAAATATCAATGGAAACTCAAGATGAAAAGAAAGTGCGTCAAGAAAATAATTTGTCATGTAAGAAGAAAAAATTTTCTACGGAAACGGAAGATGAAAAGAAAGTGCGTCAAGAAAAGAATTTGGCATGTAAAAACAATAATTTGAATAAAAAAACTGCAGGAGTTGCAATAATGTCTTTTAAAGATTTCAATGAAAGTAAAGTTCCACAGAATTATTTAGGTTTAATAAATGTAGAATGTAAGTTTTGTAATGCGTTACATTTTTTGTGTGAAAGACCGTCACATAGATCATATAGATACATCACCGAGGAATGTCCCCGTGAAGAGGACATTATGATATCGCCTGAATGTCACAAAAATATTGCCGCTTGATATCAGCTTGACATTCGAGCAATATTCCTTGCTACTTGGGTGGTAGATCCAATATAAATAAATTTTCTTTACATTTCTAATATTAAATTTTTTTGAAAAAAAATGAATAAAAAATATGGTTAATGCACACTAGCAACGTAATCGGCCGCTTGCGGACGACAAAGTTGCTAGTTCTAATAATATTTTTAAATCAATTTTTACTATAGTCGGTAGCATGTAATAGAAACTAACGGATTTCATTAATTATTATTATCACTTTTAAGAAAGCCTGAAATAAAAATAATATTATAAAATATAGTTAGATAATAAAAATTATTGAAGTTATTTGAAAAATTAAAATTTTACTATAGGAAACTCAAATGACAATTTTTATTAAGAATTTTAGAAATATCATTATAAAATGATTACGTTAATTGCTTCAATATTTTTATATTTTGGTATAGCCGATACGAAAATTTCAGAAAAGATTGCTAACAAAAAGTCACGATGATTACTCCTGTATTTGGCTATTTTTTCCATTCATTCTATTTCAGTTATAGTTATTAAAATGATTTGTTTTTCGAATTTATGTAAAATATGTATTGTATTTCTTTAATCATTAATAAGATTAAACTGAATTGAATGTGAATCTTATAACCGAGCAACTTAAAAGTTTACATAACGAGTAGTAATTAATTTTTAAAAGTAAAAACATTTCTCAAAATTTGCTAATAAAGTTTTAAATATTTACTTAATTCACTAACTAATTAAATTAGGAGTACTGGTTTTTTAGATTATCAAGAATTTTATAAGAAATCATAAGAAATTCATGATCATTGTTACTTTAAAAAAATGACCTCTTAAACGTTAGTTTAAGTTAGTTATTGTTTTCTTATGAATATTAAAAAATAATAGCGCATATAATTTAAACTAATAAATAAAGCGTTTCTCGCAAGTGCATTAAATTCTATTTTCTTAGTATATAAGGAAATTTTCTACCTTCGTGAAACATGTATATAATATACGATATTCTGCGTTGCGATATTCTGCGTTTTTGTATATG